GAAGTTCCTTAATTCCGAGATAAAGGCAGAACTAATCAACATACACTGAGAAAAAAAATACTTTTGCCAAGTAAATTTACTAACTACAAGAAAATCCACATATTTCAAATGCAAATATTTATATACATTTACTTGCGTCAAGTAAATTTACTTGGCAGAAGCTATTTTTTTCTCAGTGTACCCAACCACTTCCTGAGAGAATCTTCTTCTTTTTCACTTGATTCAAAAAGTTGGAAAATCCAATTTTTATACCTCGTCCGTACGTGTGTGTGTGTATGTGTGTACATATATAGGTATCCAAGTTTTTCCTCAATTGTTCACTAATAAATCAATGGAATTGAATCTTTTTTCTTCAAATCCAGGTATTGTTGAGTCCTATCAATTGTCATGAATTAAAATTTAATTTATCCATTCGTTTTTAAAATTTTTGAATTTTTTCGAAAATCGGTTGTTCCACGATAAATAAAAGAAAAAGTTCTGCATGATTAAATGATGGCCTAAAACATTTGTTTCGATAGCCTTTACACCGAGTTCGAAGATGAAGCCGGTAGCAATAATCGTTCTTTTGATCTATTTGAAAATTTGCAAAAATTTTGTATTTTTTGAAAATCTGAATTCTGAGGATATCTTTGAATATCGTGTTTCAAATGAATTCAATCATAGCTCAAAATGTTTGTTTTAATGCCATTAAGTCAAAGTTAAAAGATGATTACGATAGCTATATTGGTTGATTTAATTTTTATTTTTATGATGTTGAAAATTTCGAATTTTTCATGAATTTCCCTGAAAATGAGCTTTTTGATGGTTTTTTTCAAATGTGATGTTCCAAATTCATGGAAGTATATATAAATAAACAATTTTCTAGTAACAATGAATTATACATGATAAAAGGAAATGACGTACAAAGTAACCATTCGGAAACATTTTGTTAATTTATTAGCAAAAATAACTATACTACATACAATACAAGGGCAAGTTCCCACTTGTTTTATTCGTTTATTTCTGTAAAACAAAATAACAAACTATACGAAATTGAAACACATGACATTTAAACATCCTCTACATCTTCAAATGAAAAAAAAAAAACATTCTTTCATCCTCGACAAACATTTTTGACCCCGGACAATCGTATTAGGAATTCTGAAACAAAAATACGTTAGTTTACCACTTTCATTCGTCACTGAACAATTATTGTCTCTCACCACTTAGTCATGAATCGCCTAGAAGAGCTCAAGCAGCTTAGTGTTGACAGTAGTGATGTAGAGGCAGACAGTAACATCATGGACAAGTTTCAACAGAGTGAAGGTGGCATGAGTGACTCAACACCCCCCTCGCTGAGCCCCCAAGACACCTCATTCGATTACTCTCACGTGAAATATGAGAAGCACGAGGATGGGTGGAAAGATGAAGGCTCAAAGGTATTTCTAGTTAAGTCTGATCAGGAACCAAGACCAAAGCCATCACAACCCAGAATCTCAGCGAGAAGGGGCTGCCTTATCTCACGTGGAAAGCACCGAAAGTGCAAGCCTGTGAGTTTGTTAAGAAATTCTCTCGAGAGGAGAGTTGAAGGAGTCGAGAAGATCTTGGGAGACAGAGTTGACAATTTCTTGGAGGAAACTACAGAAAAATATCCTTGTCTCCAAAAAATCGAGAGCTGGATTGCTGACCGGAAGTGCAAGACTTCTGAGAGGAGGAGAAATGTGGGGAGACGTGGCAGTCCCCCTTCTGTTAATGATAATGGATTTAAGGAAGAAAGTTATGAGAACAATGAGCGTGAGGAAGTGAATGCACGTGATGAAGGTGATGGAGAAGATCCTCCGCAGTCTCTAACTAGGGAATCTCCGGACTCTGCTAGAGAATGTGGGAAGACATCACTTTCCTCTTCACCAGGGAATGTGGCTAGAGATCCCCAGAATTTGGTTGATAGAGTGAAGGATGGAGTCAAGGAAAAAGTCGACGACATTATTAGGGTATTGATAAAGATGTTGATGGGCTTTTGAGTGGTGAAGAGGTAAAATGATTTTCGAAATGGTGCAACCGAATGAATCGACTCCATAAGCGCTGAGTTTTACTTGTCTGAGAATTCGAAGGAGGTCGAGGAATTTTTGTAAAGATTTTGTAGACCCAACTGAGAGCTACAAAAATTAGTGATGCCGCGAGACATTTCACGAGACATCACGAGACAAAACTTTGGAGAGATGATCTCGGTCTCAATGAACATGGAAATTTTTTCTCTCGTCTCAGTCTCAAAATATATAGTATCAACTCCTCTCGTGATGCCGCCGAGTCAATTTATCTCACCTTGGTTCCTAGTTTTTTGAGTTTTTTACATGTAGAAAACCGAGACGAGACAAACCGAGACTAAAACCGAGATTTTACATTAAAAAACATGAAAAACTTGAGACCGAGATGAGATAATTTGACTTGGAGTCATCATGAGAGGAGTCGATTGCGTATTTGGAAACTGAGACGAGAGCAAAGTTTTCCATGTTCATTGAGACCGAGATCATTCTCTAAAGTTTTGTCTCGTAAAAATGGTTCGTATGGAAATTTCGCTGGCTTCTCTGGATATCGAAATATTTTACAGACTTATAACTCCTTCAGAATGGAAAAGGATTTGTTTATTTTTTGTTTACGTTGCTAGTAACTTATTTTGGGAATGAGTTGGATGGCGTCAAACAAGTTTTTTTTCGTTACTGAGAACATTCTATACAAAAAAGTTTCGCGACAATTCCTTTCCAATTATTCCTTACAGAGAAAAACCTTAGGAAATGCTTTCTGTAATGAAGTTCAGGGGCTACGGGAAATTTTTTTTATGAATTCTCCCAAGTTGTGTAATTTCCAAAATATTTTCAGCTATAATACCCCAAGACTTTCAAAATTATCGGATATTTCCTGAATGTTTTGTTCCATAGCAACGAGAGGGATCGGTTTTGGAGATTAAAATTCCCAGCGCGCAGCGCGAGGGATTTTACTGCAAAACTGATCCCGATCGTTGGTATGCAGGAGAACTTGAGGGAAATATCCGATGAATTTTGAAGGTCGAGGGGTATTCGGAGGACAATTTCTTCAATTCTGATTTTGGCCGATCAGAGTGCAGTGTTCGGGGTTACGGGACACATTTCACCAAAATGTGAGGGATATCTGTCAAATTCGTAGAAAATAATTGACAGGATACAGGGAAATTATCACTCATAATTTCCTTGCAGCCGGGGGAATTATCATTCTGAAATGCGTCATGGTATCCCGAATACTACACTAAGGACTACACTGCCTTGATTGGTCAAAATCAGAATTGAGGAAATTGTCAATAATATCTGAACTGAATTTTCTAATTGAATTTTATGAGATTTTTGTCTCGCCCATGACCTCCGGCGGACGGAAGATCTTTAAAAAAACATGAAAGATGTGTCTCGAATGGATTTCAGTTATTTATTCCGGCTTGAACGTATTATTCACACGAGATGGATTTGTATTGGTTCGAATCCGTCTCGTATGAAGAACAAATACAAATGTATATTTCTTGGAAGATCTCCGTCCGACGGAGAGCATGGGTGAGAAAAATCCTATTTATTGTTTTACCCCTTCACCACGGGAATAGACACTGACTGTTTGGTATGAGTGATGATGAATAATTTTATAACAAAAATTTAGTTGGAATGATAATTGTCCACGCATGAAAAAATTTAATAGAAAACCTAACGAATTCGCTAGAAAATTCTATTGTTTCTGGAAAAAATTACCAGAAAAAAACGCAATCCCCGAGCGAAGTAAATTTCAATAAAAAGTGTGAATCGGAGCCTAAATTGTACGAATCGTCACGTAAATTCTACGATTTGTTGCGTAAAAATTAACCACCTGACTGATGACTCACCGCTCTGGGGACAACAAGTGGTTCCGTAATTTTTCCCCAACGATTGAGAAATTTTACGGAACCGAACGTAGAAATTACTCACCAGTTTCATAAAAATTGTTAAACATTTAAGAATTTTTAATTTTGGAGGCATAATAAGTCGGGAAGTTTCGGTAAGATTTTACTTCTTCGGGAAAAATTACGTGACGTACTTTGTTCAGTGATGAACCTGAAAATTCTGAACGTTTCAGATTTCTTGTCTTACATTACTATAAAAATTGCCGGAAAACGATTCCCCATTGTAGATCACGTGAATTGTTCCGTAATTTTTACTGAATATTTCTCTCCGTGTAGGAATTCTATGGGGTTTCTACGGGATTTCTAATGGAATTCTATTGAAAAATTCTATTTGTTTTTTGCTTTGATTCAATTGGATATTCGGTAAGCAAAAGACAATAGATTTCAAATTTCTATTTGAATGTTTCTCTTGAGATTTTTTCTACTCGGAGAGAAATTTTCTAGAAAAATTCTAGTACGAGTACTGGAAAAAACTAAATCCACCGGCTGTGAAAAATTCTAGTATTGTTAAGATAAAATTTCTTGGTATTACTGGTAAAATTTCTGGGGGTTTCTGTGAAATTTTCACAGAAATACAGGGAAAAATTCACGTTTTCCCCAATAAAATTTCTAGTGCCGGCACTGGAAGTTTTTCCTGGCCGTCACTTTGCGCCTCTTTTTCCGTGCTAGCACTAGAATTTTTCTAAAAAATTTCTCTCTGTGTACATCTTTTGTAATAATTCTAATGGAAAAAATCTGAACGGAAAAATTCGAACAGAAATTCAAAATAGTATATTGACTTCTTCCTATCAAATATGCAATAGAATCAGCTCGAAAAACAAGTAGAATTTTTCAATAGAATTCTTATAGAATTCCAATAGAATTTTCTAGCGAATTCGTTAGGTTTTCTATTGAATTTTTTCATGCGTGTCATTTAAATACACACGATAAATTGTAGGAATTAACTACACTACGTGAGATCTACAAAAAACATTAGCGATGGTTACGTCACAATGAATCATGGATCAACTGATACTCTTGTGTTTGCTGTCAGTCGCTAATGGTTCTTTATTTTTTATTTTGCCTGCAGTATTTTCAACGTACAAACAGACTGGCGGATGTTAATCGAAGATTGAAGTCGCAGATATGGAGTTCAGTGGTGACCATCGTCCTGGTGGAGGCGAAGAATTTAATTCCCATGGATATAGATGGTGAATCGGATCCTTACGTCAAATTCAGGTAACCAAAAATATTATTCTGTTCTTTCATCAAACACTATGCAACTGGGAAATACGGATAATCAATTCTACTTTTCAATTTGAAAAAAAAACGGAAAATATTTTACTAATTTCCGTTATGAATTTTTAAAGTAAGGAAGAATTGTTAATACATGTGAATTTATCATTTCTGATGAGAAAATTACCGTGGATGATCCGAAAAGTAATAAGTAGATTGAACCTTGAATGAATTTTGATGCATATTTTTTCTGACGTGTGGAAAAGTATTTACCATAATTTTTAGGGGAGACAGGGGCAAAATAAAACAGCCAAAAAACGACTGAGGCAATTCAAGGGAAAAAAAATTTTTTCATCAACTATTTCTTTCTTTTAACTTTTGGTTATTGACTTTTTTTATTATTGACAGTACTGACGAGAATAATAATTTTCTATTCGGTAAAAATGAAAATGCGGGGCGAAAAAATCACTGATATTCGAAGCCTCTATGTAACGTGTCGACTATCTCTACAACTGAATCCCACTCCCCTGTTAGATCTGGATCTCAACGTCCACTTGACAGCTCCTCCCCTGACTCTGCAGCACAGCCAAACTAAGCAACCTCGTCATTGCTGAGTCTTTTGTCTCTCCTCATCGAGTTATACTCTTGTCTAAAATTTCAAATTGATCGACTTGATACTTTTTGGAATAGAGCAATTGATGTAAAAAGGCTTTTCGCATGAAATGAAATATCCTTATTCTATCATTGATTATTACATGGAGAAAACTTGTAAGGTCATATAGCTTTGGATTATATCATTATTTTAAAAAATCGGTTCCCTACAAATACTCTTACTGGATAAAACCAAAACTTGATTCTCAATTTTGGAAGGTCAAACGTTCCGAGGATCTGATTTTTTTTCTTATTCCTGTATAATCGATAATTTCAGAAAAATGGAGCTAGCAGTTTGAAATTTAGTATGATTATAGCTTTTACAATAGTGAAAATCTGAAACTGAATCTGAAACTTGAATCTGAAATTGAATTGAAATATCTTTCGGTATTTTGGATGGACGCAATTGACGCATCGAGTGGTTGCGGAGATATTTAACCTTTTGTATGAATCTATTTCATCCAAAGGTCCAATATCTCCTTGCAGACTCCCCGTAGAATGCGGTTGCGGTTGTGTGCCTATCGCAAGGACCGGGAATTGCTACGGATCTAGTCGGAAGTTTACTACCAATAGAATTGGCAAAAATAAACAAGCAGCGTTTCGAGTCTATCCGACAGAAGGCATGTGACCATTACTGTTTGCGTCATTTGTCTCTTTCTTTTTTTTATTTCTACCAGTTCCATTGGTAGTAAGCTTCAGAATGGATCCGTAGCAATTGTCTATCCTTGGGACAGGCATACAACCGTAACCTTATGCTGCAGGGTGTCTAAAGGAAAATATTCAAACTTTTTTTTTTTATTGGTATTCAACCTTTTTATGAAATAGATTTATACAAATGGTTAAATATCTCCGAAATTGCTCGTCCGATTGCGCCTATCCAAAATAACAATCTTTAGTATTATCAGAGCTACGATCATAACAAATTTGAACTTGCTATCTCCTTTTTTTTTAAAAAAAGTAATAAACGGCAATGTTTCTAAACTGTGACTGAATAATATTTTCTGTTAGACTTATTTAGAGGTCATCGAGAAAATTATTTTGGCAACAAAAATTGTCAATCGGTGCAGTAGTTTTTGAGATATTGAGGAAAAACGAAATTTAAACAAGTTATATCTCAGGAACTACTGAATCGATCGGGCTGAAATAGCGCGCCAAGGTTGAGCACAACAATAGCTACAACGAGCCAACATTTCAGATTTGTATCTACAAATTTCACCGTATTTATGTTGAATTTTCTAAAAATTAAGGATATTCAACCAGTGTCGGTAAATTGCCGGTAAATGTGTTCTTTTTCGTGGTCCAGGAAAATTCTGTAATTTTTTCGGCTGAAAAATTAATCGCAATAGTCTCGGTAGAAATGAATAAACTAATTTTTCGTTCTACACGGGCTCTTATGAAATTTATATTCAAATTGATAATTCACTACTAGAAGACTCTAAAAATAGAAATGAAAATAGAAGGTAATGTGTAAAATCATACTGAATCCAATGGCCAGAGAGAAATCTGGAGTACCCGGACAAAAAGACTAAATATTTGAATGATTCTATTCCATATAAGTGCATGTTAGCGCATTCATTTAGTATTTATTTATTTTGCCACATGTATACCCTCTCGGGTCTTTACATTTTGTTCCCATCCCTTAAATCACTAAGAACCCTGTTGTGAAATAGTATCAGCATTTTGAGTTACAATCAGTATACAAAATATAAAAGAAAACATAAATGCCATAGGGGCTGTTGTCTTAACTAAAGAAGACATGAATGCTATAGAGGCTGTTGTCTTAACTAGTAACAATACATATTTTAAACTTCACATAGTACCAAATACATATTCCTCTTTGACGAGTGTCAGAAATACAATCTTTTTATAGTCCATGAACAGTAGGACTTTTGAAAAAAAACAAAAGAAAATTATGAGTACATTTTAATTGACTGCTCCTTCCCTCGGCCTTTTTTCGCATGAAATCCGGGGACTTGAAGTGCTGTAATACTAAATGAAGTATAGTAGAACGTAAAACCGGGGACTCGCGTAGCCATCACCCACGCCATCAAAATCGGTTAGCCGGGAGTACTTCTCGGCCGCGTCGTCATCATAATCACGGCTCTTAGTTTCCTTCCCCCCACCCACTCCTTGTGTGCCATGAAACATTTATATGATAAAATAAATTGAAATGAAATGCCCAGTAGGAGGCACATTAGGAAGCAGGTGCCGGCGAACTGCTCTGCACCTCCTCCCTCCTCCTGATGAGCTTTTCCCACTCCCTGAAGAATTTACACAGCTCCGGGATCGGTCTTCCCCCCAATAGCTCTACAATTGACTCTTCCCTACCAAGGATTCTCCAGTCGTCCCAAACTTCTTTTAGGACTCCCCCTTTTAGAATATCACAGCTCAGGATATGCTCCAAATCTTCAGAGAGTCCCCCCCCCACATAGTCTCATGTCCTCCTATCCCTTGTTTCCTGCCTTCCCAACATTCCCACAGCGCAAGCGCGCCCACATCACCTTGTCCCCCCAAGACACTCCTTTCATTCGCCAGTAGCAGAACTCATCGTCCCTCTTCCTCAGAAACTTATAACTTGGATTAAACCTGGATCGACGAATCTTCTCCCTGTCCGAGCTATGTACCTTCTCTCTCCCTTTGTCTAGATATTCTCCTACCTTATCCCCAAATTCTTTATTCTCAAGATCTCCTTCTCTCAGAATCCCCAGTAGTTCCTGACCTTCCCAGTTACCTAGAGCCCCCTCCAGTTCCCTAGCCCAGGCCGAGGGATTGCGATTAGTCAACGCTCTGATTTCCTCCTTCAGACATGATCTAACCAGCCTATCCTCTTCCAGTCTACTCACTTCTCCTAGGAAGTGAAGCACACGTCTTCTGGACTCAAAGATAACACTCTCCCTACCGCTATCAGCCCTCCATAGATAGTCTGGTGTGATTTTGGAGACACCCATCCCCATTCTCGTAACCCTCCCTTGAACTCGCTCCATAGATGGTCTTTCCTTTAGTCCCCAGATTTCTGTTCCGTACATCGCCCCTGCTTTACTCAGTGTGTTTAGGATATACAGTCTGCTATTCAGAGAATGAAGCCCCGCTCTAGCCGACACCCCCCACGCCGCGTTAACCGTTCTTACCCCCTTTCCCGCCATTTTACGGATGTGCATCCCACTTGAATTCCTAGATGAGAACCAGTAACCCAAGTATTTGAAGCTGTTAACTACTTCAACCCCCTTTTCATTGATTTTCCATCGTTCTCCCTTCTTCCTGCGTCCCCCCACCCCGAAAGATCATAATCTTGGTTTTATTTCCGTTAATTTCCAGTTTATTCTTGGTAAAATACCTCGCAGCAGTGTCCAGCATGCTTTGTAGACCACCTGCGTCCTCAGCCACAACCGCGATATCGTCTGCGTACTTTAGACAGTAGACTTTCCCTTTTCCAATGACCGATCTCCCTTCATTCTTTCTTTCCCATTTATCATCAATGTCATCGATGAACAGATTAAATAGAATTGGACTCAGTGGGCATCCTTGTCACCCCCCTTCCCGTGAGAAATCTATCAGTGATCCCTGACCCCGTGATATCCTCACTCTCTGTGCAGCTGTAAATAGCCCTAACCATATAGAAGCGAGCCCTAATATCCACCATCCACAATTTCTCGAGGAGCAAGTCCCGATCCACTGTGTCGAAGGCTGCTCGTAGGTCAATAAATGCTATATATAACTTACCCCCTTTATTCTTTATTTTGTTCCCTATCAGCGAATTGAGGATGAATATTTGTTCCCTTGTTCCTCTTTTCCTTCTGAATCCCCCCTGACTCTCCCTGAATTTTCCTTCCCTCTCCAGCCATCCTCCCAGTCGTTTAGCCATGATGCTGGCCAGCAGCTTATAACCCAGATTTAAAAGCGAGATCCCCCTGTAGTTTCCTACGTCATTCTCGTCCCCTCCTTTGTGAATGGGAAAGATGCGTGCCACCTGCCATCCATTTATCAAAACTACTGATTCCCATCCCTTTTGCACTACCTTCCATAATTCATCCTTCCAATTATCAGGTAAATTCTTCAGAAATTCTCCAGTGATCCCATCTTTCTCCGCCGCTTTCCCATTCTTCAAGGCTTTCAGCGCTCCACATAACTCTAGGTATGTGATGTCGCCGTCCAGCTCCTCTACTTCAACCCACTCTTCCTACCCTTTCCATTCCGTCCTCATCCCTATCCAAGTTAGCCCCCCCCCAGTTGATTCGCCACCTGGTTCAGCTAACGTTCGTCTGATATAGACGTCCCCTTCCTCGCCTTACAGGCTCGGCATTTCCCGAGAGCTTTCCAGAATTTCCCCATGTCCCTACTCGCCTTAACCCTATTTTTCTTTTCCTCAGCTAATTATTTCAGTTCATCTTTGACCATTTGCTTCATTTTAGCTTTTTCTTTCTGAAAGACTTCCCTGTTACTCGCTTCGTGACTACGGAGGTAGCGTTTCAGTAGGTTGAAGACTATGCTTCTTTGAATCTTATATTCGTCCCCCAGCCACGCGAAATCATCTTTTGGACGTCCCTTCCCCCTACCCTTTTAATCATCCCTGTCTCTTCCGCTGCTTCAAAGATGGCAGCTTTGATTTTTCCCCAGCGAGCATTTATATCGTCCCCTTCTTCTGACTCAATCCCCTTATTTTCTAGGTAGTTCTGATAGGATTCACCAGACACTGGTCTCCAGACGAGTTTAATCTCCCCTTCCCTAGATTTCTCCGCCCCCTCTTCCCTCTTTGGCCCTTGGGCCAACCTAGGCGCTAATCCACTGGGCCCCCTCAGGGTTAGCGCAACCCCTAGATGGTCCGAGTCAATTGTAGGCCAAATATTAATCCCCTCCAATACATGAGGATCTCCCTCATGGAGTACCAGATCAATGACCGAGCCGTCCACATCCTCCCGATTCCCCACGAAGGTGATGGCTCCTTCCCAGTCCCCTTTTATAGCACCATTAGCCAGTACCAAACCGTCAATATCACAGAAATTTATCCGTTTCCTCCCATCTCTAAGTATTTTCTCGTCCCTGGATTTCCCCTGAAAGCACTCTTCCCCATCCCCAGCCTGTAATGTGCCCACTCTGGCGTTAAAATCCCCCATAACTATGATAGACTCTCCTATTTCTCTACCTTCATCTATACCATCACTTATTTCTTTTAGCAATTGCTCAATCCCTACATTATTGTACCCTGCAATCAGTCTACATTTCCTCCCCCCTCGGCTAGCTTTACCCCAGAGATAACTGCCCCATTAGACCAAGTCTTGACTTTAATATCATTTCCCAGGGTATTCCTGGTCCCCACTAGAATCCCTCCTATGCCCCTCCCCTTTTTCTTCCTTTTGATAGCCCCTTGGTGATCCCACGTGAAATCGCTTGACAGACTTTCGACTCTCTTCATTAGGCCCTCCTGCTTACCCCTAATTACGTGTCTCTAGTAAAACTATAATATCAAACCTAGCTAAGTCTTTCCAGACTCGCTGAACTTTCCCCTCATTAAGCCCAGTAACGTTCCAGCAGGTGGACGTAATGTGAGTATTCCCCCCCTCTTCAGGTAGTCAATTATTAATGTTAATGTTACCACCGTTTGAGACCCTCCTACCGGTGCTCTCATCTTGGCTCTCCATGTCCACGAGTACAGCTCTCTTCTCGTCCCATTTAAACTCCACGTTGTTCGGCAGGATGCTTTATTGAAAGCCCAGGACTCTCGCGCGTCTCCCAAGGTCCCTTGTGCGCCTAGCCAGCGCCTGAAGATATTCAGTCACCTCGATCTGTCTCAGGGTTAGATCATTCTCCAACGTGATTCCCACTCGTTTCAGCTCCCTTTGATTATACCCCTTCATCAGTGCTGATTTTTGCGTATGGATGGCCAGCTGGAAGAGGAAGTCTCCTGAGGGCAGTGTCATCATGTTCTTTAACATTCAGCTTAGTGACAGACTTAACAACAGTAACGAAGTCCACCGCCTCCGTCCCCGGGAAAGCATTCAGTCCTTTTACTATCACGTTATTCTCCCTCTTCCTCCTTACTTTCATCTCGTAGGTTATCACTCCCTTGCCCAATTTCTCTGGCGCCCCCTGTCTCACTGCAAGGCCCTCAAGCAGGTTAGCACTTCCTCTCCGAGTAGTCCTGTGCATCCTTGGCGTGTCGCCTGTCGGACTTCCCTGGATCCCGATAGTGTTGCCATTGCCATCTCTATTTACTGTGAAATCTTCCTCCTGTGAAGGCGGCGGCTGATCGCGTCCTTCTCCCATCTCGCCATTGCTATTGCTGTGTACTTGTCCCTTCCCGTCGACCTCCCCCATCCCCTCAGCGGAGGGATCTGCGCTTCTGTCATATGGAGATTCACTCCTCCTCGAGGCCCTGGCTGAGAGTGAGGCCCTCCTAACCCCCTTTTCCTGTCTCCACTCTCTGGCCATGGCGAGCTCCAAGTTTTTCTTCACTTCATCAAAGCCGTAATTCACCCACTTTCCCACCGCCTCCACAGGATCGTTGACTTTCTCCACTTCTGTCAGGATATCACTCAATGCTCTGTCTAGTCTTTCGCCAAACCTGTCAGCTCTCGTCGTTGGGGTCCCTTTCCTGGACATTAACGTCTTCAACATTTCCTCAATGTTGTCGAGTCTTTTGTTTACCTCATTACCACAGTTCCACAGGAGCTATACAGTTTCCCACAAGATTGACACACGAGAGCCCCCCCTGGCTGTGTTAGCGGCTATTGCTCCCTCTCCCTCATGAATTACACCGATTTCAGAATTGGACCCCTTCTCAAGGGCCCCATTCCTCCTCGCGGATTCTTCATGAGTCAAAACACCCTCTGCAGGGACGCCAATCATTCCCACAGGTACTTGACGAGCCAATTCACGCTCCGCGACACCATGTCCTCCCACAGCCTGCTATGAGTCCATCTGATTGCCCTCTACCTGCTGCATACTCCCCATCGCCTTTAGTTCCGCTAGATTTATCTGATATAAATTACCTGTTGCTTGCCTTCGCCAAGGGCAGAGGGTCGTCCTCATTCTCCTGGTCCATCCCCCGGAGATCTCCCCCTCCCTCCCTTGGTGAGCTAAGGCTTCTCCCATCTCTCGGGGGAGTGTGCATCAATTTCGAACTTGTAGCAAAAACATTTACCTCATTGCTTCTCAGGAAGTAGTCGGCAATCTCCTTTTTTCCCCTCCTGGTGGCAGTTTCCTCTTTCGGTGGCCTCCCCCTCCTTCCTCTTCTCTACCTGCCCCTCTGTCACGGTGGGTCTCTCGGACTGAGCTTCCCCCGAGTCCATCGGTCGTTGCTCCTCCCTATCCGTGGCGCCATCCGTGAGCTGCGAGTCGTACTCGTTCGTCCCGCTTGAATTCGTCTCCTCACTCTCCTCCTGGGCTCTCTCTTTCTATCCCCATCGTAACCTCTTTCCAATACTAGCGAACGAAATATGCTGCAAACTCTTCAGGAACGTCTTCCCCGATAAGACCTATTATCTCCACCCGTACTCCAGCTACTCAGGAATCGTTTCTCACCAAACTTACTCGCGGAACAACGCTAATTTCGATTAATAAACCGTTAATACCGCAGAGCTAAAATCCAATGCGTCTACACTTTACGACCGTAGCGCCCTCCTCCCGCATGCATTTAAAGTCCGTGTCACGAAAGAAGTAACATCGGCTTGAGTGGTGGGGGCCGTGGATTGAAAGCTGAATTCAGGAGAGTGGGGGTACCGAGGTTCCTTCTTTCGTGGCGAGAACTTTAGTATATTTTGTCTATTTCATACCTAAATAATGAACATGGGCTGGTGGATGGGAATTTAGATCAAAATGAAGGGAATATCTTCATCTCTCAGTTAAAAAAAATCATTTTTTTAAGTACGTGCAATTTTGCATAAACATCCTTAATCACCAAAAACGCAAGTTGTCGGATAGATACATATAGCCTGAAAACATCATTTCTTCACATTTCATAACATTCTACACTATTTGCAATCAAAATTATAAAATCGAAAAATCGGTCAAAAACAAGACTTCCATTCGGAAACAAAAAGAGTTATAACACATAAAGGAACAGTCAGATGGCTCCTACCAAAAAGGCTCGAACTCCTACTTATTTTAAATCAATGTGGAATCATTTTTTAACGATCAAGTAATTTCTATTTAAATCGTTGAAAAATCCTGTTCGAAAATTCTCTCTGAAGACTCGATAGAACTCCTTTTCAGGACGATTTTGACCAAAAAATAAAATCCGGGGGTCTAAATGGATATGTATATTAGTTCGACACCTTTCCGTTATATGGCTAAGACATCAACCTCAACTCAATTTCAGTTACAATAATTAATAAAGACTTTCTTTGTAGGCTGGGAACCGAGAAATACAAATCCAAAGTGGTCAACAAGACCGTTAACCCAGTATGGTTAGAACAATTCGATCTGCATCTCTACGAAGACCCCTACCTCGGCCAAGAGCTCGAAGTCACTGTCTGGGACCGAGACAAGGGCCACCAGGACGATCTCATGGGTCGCACGACAATCGATCTAGCCGGTTTAGAACGGGAAACCACCCACCGGATCTGGCGTGACCTTGAAGATGGTGCAGGCAATATCTTCCTGCTCCTAACAATCAGCGGCACCACCGCCAGTGAAACAATCAGTGATCTTGCCGCGCAGGAGGAAAATCCAAAGGAGAAAGAACGCCTCCTGCAAAAGTACTCCATCTGGAATACTCTCCAGCGCCCTCGGGACGTGGGTCACCTCACGGTAAAAGTCTACAGAGCACAGGGACTAGCAGCAGCAGATTTAGGCGGCAAAAGTGATCCATTTTGCGTCCTGGAGCTCGTGAACTCTCGCCTGCAAACGCAAACAGAGTACAAGACTCTCGCTCCTAATTGGCAGAAGATCTTCACGTTCAATGTCAAAGACATAAACTCAGTATTAGAAATCACAGTTTATGATGAAGACAGAGACCACAAGGTTGAGTTCCTAGGAAAGATAGCAGTTCCTCTTTTGAGAATAAGAAATGGAGAGAAACGGTGGTATGCTTTAAAAGACAAGAAGCTTCGCTGCAGGGCGAAGGGTAATTCTCCCCAGATTCTCCTGGAGATGACAGTGATTTGGAACTATCTCAGGGGATGTGTGAGGACATTAAACCCTAGAGAACAGAAGTACATGGAGCCAGAGGTGAAATTCAAAAGGCAATTGTTCCTGCGAAATGTGTTAAGATTGAAAGCTGTCATCATGTTCTTTATTGATCTTGGAAAATATATCCAAAGTTGCTGGGAGTGGGAGAGCAAGACGAGAAGTGTTGTAGCTTTGGTTCTGTTCATCCTTGGGTGCTATTATTTTGAACCTTGGATGATTCCTGCTGCAGCTCTTCTTATTATGCTCAAATATTGTCTAGTGTGTGTTCTCACAGCAGACGTAAAATCTTCGTCGTATCATTCCATGTCGAGTTATCAGGACGGGGAAATCAACTCTGATGAGTGTCCACCGACTCCTGGAGATGACGATGAGGACGAGGATGATAAGGATAAGGAGGAGAAAAAGAGCCTTAAGGAGAGGCTCCAAGCCATTCAGGAGGTCACGCAGACCGTGCAAAACTCAATTGGGTATATTGCGAGTTTGTGTGAGAAGGTCAAGAACTTGTTCAATTTCACTGTTCCTTATTTGAGTTATCTCGCTATGGTGCTGGCTGTGCTTGGGGTTGTAGTGTTGTACTGTATACCGGTGAGGTATTTGATACTAATGTGGGGGGTCAACAAGTTCTTGAGGAAGATCCTGAGACCACATTCAGTGCCGAATAACGAGGTGCTAGATCTTATCTCCAGGGTACCTGATGATGAGGATCTGCTCAGTTACAGGTTGGTAGTAGAGTTACGAACATAACGTCCATGTGACGTAATTTTTTTGCTTCCGAATGGAAGCATTGTAATCGTTCAAATTCAATTTTTGGATTTTTTGTGTTATATAGACCCATTATAATCCAAAAAGTCCGAAATAGTAGATTATGTCATAAGGACGATAGGTCGAGATTTGTGAGGAGTGTGAAGTTTGCAGCACGAGGCGTCGGTAAGCTGGAGATGAGTCTCGCCGAAGGCGAGCCGTGTCGGAGACATAAAATATCGCCAATATTTTTTATTTACTCGCTTCGCTCGGTTAGATCGCGGTTTATCGGGCCTAATGACATAAATGCATTTTTTAGACCGTGTCCATCCGTATGTGTGTATGTATGTGACAAAGTTTTTCGTAATTTTCTCTCAATTATGTATAAGTGAAATATTCCTATTGAAATTTTCAGCTAGTCGAGGTTTTTTTGATAAAACAATCACAGAACGATGAAACAACAATTTTCATCTTTGTGGAAAATTCACTTTCACTAATTATTTGATTGGAAGAAAACGGTTGAAATTGATTCAATTATCATTAAAAAGAGTTATTTCGATATCGCTTTGAATGAATCAACTCGTGATATAAATATATATTTTATAATTTTATGAAAAATTAAGCATGACAGGAGAGAACGTATGTTCGTATGTTTGCTCATACGCAAACCTGTTATGAGCAAGTGAAAGATCAGTTTGAAGAAACTCAGATTTTAGTTATCTGGGGCTCACAACCCATATTCTCTTCAAAAAACCCAGACAGAAATTACAAAAGAGAATAGATATCGAATGAGAATAGTATATTTCGTTACTAGTGCGGAAAAGAATGTTCCTCGCCTTCGGCTCGTGCTATAAATCTCCCACGAGCCAAAAACCACTGTTCCCACGAGTATCGAACGATATTGTCATCACAATGTGTGGAAGGGACGTTTTAGGCACGCTTCGCGTGCCTAAAATAGTATATTTCGTAACGAGTGCAAAAAAGTGTTTCGAAGCGCGTGTTTAAAAGTGTTTAAAAGCGAGTCGAAGGCGAGTGATATAATCCCACGAGCTAAAAAACATTTTTTCACAAGTTACGAACAATATTTTTCATCACAATGTGGCGGAGCGTGCCGAAAAGTTCACTTTTCGTCACAGCGTGATGAAAAGTTACTTTTTCGCACAGCGTGATGAAAAGAAATTAATTCACTTCAAGAAAATAAAATAGGCAATAATAATATACAATGAAAACAATAGGCAAAATGACCATTTGGAAGCATATTGTTAATTTACTAGCAAAAATAACTGCACTATTTGCAATACAGGAGCAATTTCCCACTTGTTTTGTCATAATTTGAATAATTTGGCCATCTTACTGCCGTTTGTAACAAAAAAATGTCATAAGATTAAGGAACGGGAGAGACTGGCGGAATATTGGGAAGGGTGAAATGTTCGTAAGGGGAGACCGCCTTCATTGAGAGAAAAACGACAAAATTCTCAAACAAGTCTTACTTGTGCCAAGAAAATAGTTTTTTGAAAATTATCAAAAAAGGATTTTTTTGTGCCGAACATGCAGAGTGCGCCGAGATGGAAAATTTTTGTCGCAAAAATAGAGTTTGTAGTTGAAAAAAAATTGCATTCTCTGTACACGCAAGAAATGTCATTTCTAGCACTACTTCGTTATTTGACACTCCCATACGTATTTTGCTCTCAAAAAATGTTTGTTTCATGCGAAATAAAGGATAGTAGTTTTTCCAGCTATCTGATAATCACAGCCAAGAAATGAACCCTTAAATGAAACAGTAATAATGATATGATAGCTATCTTGTAACTTAGGGACAAAATATTCTTTGATAAATTTTCCTCTGTATGAGATATTTTCATCCTGAAAAGGCACCGTCTGGTGGGAATTATCTACCTCTTTAAGCAAACATCTGTCAGCAATGAAATATTGAGCCAAATATTTCGTTGCTATCGAAAGCTGAGCAATTATGTTTGAGGCTTTCAAATTCGAACCAAACAAATCTTTTTTTTGGCAATTTTCAACTAGCGATTTTGTTGGCCTAAATAATATTTTTTTGAGATCGTGTTTGTTTTTCTCTCAGTGTTGAAACTTGAAATTCTGTGGTGGCGGCATGGACCATCGAGCGACTTTTGATATAAAATGAGACATCCAAAAAATCAGGAAAAATGTGGAATTCAAGGCATTTTTCATGGTAAGACGTGAGTTTTCGAGTTGTTATCTTAATAAGGCTCCATGGAGTACAATTTCTATCGGATTCTATCTCTTTTTTATGCACTCTGTTAGTCGCGCAAAATTTACGAACACCGTTCGTCGCGCTGTAAGCGCCACGACGCACCAGCATAAATCGACATAATGATTAATTTGAAAGATCTAGGGAAATTTTTTTTTTTTTATTGTTATTTTACATCGCTTCGACCCAGTTAGGGTATACTACGATGATGATCAAGACTTTTAAAATGGTTAGATCGCACCATTCTACCCGGCCGGGATTTGAACTCGGAATCTTTCGCCTGTGAGGCAACGCACTTACCCACTGCGCCAAGTCACCGGGCAATCTAGGAAAAATCTGAAAAATATTAAAAGTGATCTCGATCGTACACTTGAAGTCCCGTGAGATTTTTTATATTTAGTGTTAGCCTTAATTATATATTCAAGCTCCAAGTTGCCATGTTTTTCTAAAAATTCGCCTTATACACGGTACACGGCCCGGAGTTTCGGAAGTTTCCGAAAAAAAAAAAAAAACTTACTAATCACATCCCATCAATTCCCGTCCCACGTGACGGGAACCACCACTACACCTCCATATAGCATATCATCAAACTTACTAATCACATCCCATCAATCCAACTATTTATGATATTTTTGGCGGATATGTTCATTCATAGGGTTTCTAGACACTTTAGAATGAGATGCCAAATTTTTTAAAAAATTTCTGAGGCTTTACTGGCGCGACGCTCATAGCGCGACCAACGGAGTGTTAAATGTTTGTTAGATTCAAAAGAATGACATGAGGAATCAATTCTTTTTTCAGTTTTGAATACATTATGAAGACTCAATTTTTTTTTCGATTTGCTGCTTTTGATTGATTGAAATTGAAACTTGAAATGTTTCTCTCAAGTAATAGTATATTTCGTAACGAGTGCAAAAAAGTGTTTTTTGGCGAATGGGACGTTTATATCACGAGCCGAAGGCGAGTGATATAATCCTACGAGCTAAAAAACATTTTTTCACGAGTTACGAACAATATTTTTCGTCACAGCGTGATGAAAAGGAATATTTTATTGATCAATTAAAAACATAACAATACAGATACCCAATTTTATAGTTAAAAGTCCAATGAACATTAAAAAAAGTCTAACTCAGATAAAGATTGTGGTCCATGGATCATTTCTAATATGAAAAAATGAAAAATGAGATTTTACCATGAAACACTGGGCAAAATGGGAGTCGCTCAATAACTCCACTCACCCACAACAGACTCTCAAGTTTCAGGAGAGACAGAAATTCGTCAGAGGAGGGAAATCGGAAGTGATCAACTATTTAGATGGGATGTGATGGCCAGTCGATAATTTGGCCATGTGACACAAATTTCATAGCAGGCCATCTGTTTACTGGAATGTGACATTCTTATGGTAATGAACCATTATTTGGCCATGCAACAAATTTGTCATATTTATTTCTGTCACGTGACGGGCATGTAACATGTAACAAAATTTTTGCACATCTTTCAACGTCAAAATAGTATAGTAAAATGAGATAGGTCCCATCAACCTAAAGTTGAATTTTCGATTAATGATCTCTGAATCGAAGTGTCGATTGCACCAAGCTTTATTAGCTCCATCTTAGTGAAACAATCAGTTAACTCATATGTACAGTTCTCTCAGGAACAATTTTATCACGGAGGTTCAGATAGCTGTATATTAATTAGGGTCCATTTTTCTCGTTGAAAAAGGACTTGGTGGAAAAGTCCCTCTCACCCCTTTGATTCCAAGGCATCCTCCGAGAATTCGCCGAAAAGAAAATAGTATATTACGTGCTAAGGCGGAGAAGTGCTGAATTCAACGCTGGTGGAGTACAGGCGCACGAGGCACGTGAGTCGGAGACGAGGCCGCCGAAGGCGGCCNGCCCTTTTTGGGCTTGAGCAATGAAAATTTACTTATCTCTTTTACTAATTTCTTGAGGATTCTTTTATTGGTGAAACTAAATATTCGTGACTTTAAATTATGGGCAACCTAGGTAGCCAATATGAATTTGAATTTCTTTAAACACCTTATTACATGAGGTGTCTCAATTATGGGTGCTCAGGTAGATGTACGGGACCACCTCTTCAGCTTCTCCCTTCAAGAGGTATATAATTTTAAAAATTATAAATTCGAAATTTCCAATTAAATTCAAGCACGCATGGTATGGCAATTTTTATAACAAACCATACCTGCGTTTAGCGTTACCCAGGGTTCGCGATGTGGATGCAGCTGGTATGTGAACCCCAAAAAGCCTAAATAATGCAATTAATTTGACCAAGTCACATTCATTTAGTTTGACCCCTTTATTCTCTCGTGATATTGTAGAAAGAATTAGATTTGTAGCGAAACACAAGAGTATTTGATTGTAAAGTGCAAAATTTCTTACCAAAATCAAATTAAGAGATAGATACTTTGCAAAAATCCGTAAAATTTCTGTGGGTTTACGTTTATAACTAGGTTATTCCAATTTTTTTTCTATTCAAAATTTTTCTGGGTTTTCATTTTGAGTGATTCGAGGGTTTTATTACTTCGAACGAGTCGAATAATGTGAATAATGAGTGGGCAGAAACGATTATAGCCCACATACGAAATGCCAGTGTTGGAGAAACGGGCCAAGCCTGGCACAAGCCTGGGCTTGCCAAGTCTGGGCTTGCCAAGTCTGGGCGCCCAGGCTTGGACCGAGGTTCGGCCATCCCTGGGGACCAGGGCTTGAGTCTCGGGAGAAGGGCGGGTAACCGAGCCTTACTTGACAGATCTGGCCCAGCCTTGGCCGGACATTGACATGCCGGAGCTCGATAACCAAGCCTCAGCCAGCGGTGGCCCGGAGCTTGGTCATTGGGCTCCAGCCGTTGGTGTAACTGTAAGGGTTAA